TTGGGTCAAATAAACGTGCGTGCCAAATTTCATCCACTTATCTTGAAAATTGCGACCTGTAGCTTGCGCACAAGGTTTACATGGACAGCCAGCCAGCCAGCCAGCCAGACGGACGGACATAGCTTAATCGACTCAGAAAACAATTCTAAGCCGATTGGTATACTTTAAGGTGGGTCTAGGACGAATATTTTTATATGTTACAAACATCAGCACAATCCAATATACCCTCCCCACTAAAGTGGTGTAGGGTATAAAAAATAAGCATTTTTTACACATTCTGATGTAATTTTCTCGAAAACTATGCAAGATAATTTCATGAAAGTCATCATACATTCGTTTCTACACAAGACATTTATTTCTGCTGAAAATTTCCAGAATCGGTCCATAATTTCATATACCTCCCATACAAAAGTACATATTCCCGGAAAATGAGTTTTTTGTTAATAACTTCCGTCAGAATGTTGATATCTTTACAAAATTTTACAAATTAAAATCTTATGTCAATAGAATTCATCTAAAGAAAAAATTTTCTGGATCGGTCCATAATTGGTCATAGCTCCCATACAAGGTCCCCTCCCGAAAATCACTTAAACGCACATACCTCATTAGTAAATTAAGATATCCATATAAAATTTGGTACAAGTATTGCTCTCATATACAAAAATATTTCTGTGCAACTTTTTTGCGATCGGTCCATAATTGGTCATAGCTCCCATACAAGGACCCTTCCCGAAAATCACTTAAATGCGCATAACTCATTACTAAATTAAGATATCCATATACAATTTGGAATAGGTATTGCCAATATACACAGAAATATTACTATGAAATTTTTTTCCGATCGGTCCATAATTGGTCATAGCTCTCATACAAGGTCCCTTCCCGAAAATTGCTTAAACGCACATAACTCATTACTAAATTAAAATATCCATATAAAGTTTGTACAAGTATAGCTCTCACATATAAAAATATTGCTATGAATTTTTTTCCCTATCGGTCCATAATTGGTCATAGCTCCCGTACAAGGTCCCCTCCCGAAAATCACTTAAACGCACATTACTCATTACTAAATTAAGATATCCATATAAAATTTGGTACAAGTATTGCTCACATATACAGAGATATTATTATGGAAGTTTTTTCCGATCGGTCCATAATTGGTCATAGCTCCCATACAAGGTCACCTCCCAAAAATCACTTAAACGCACATAACTCATTACATAATATTGATATCCATACATTTAGCACAAATATTGCTCTTATATACATAAAAATTATAAAATTGCTTTGCAATCGGTCCATATTTGGTCATAGGTCTCATACTAGGTCCCCTCCAGAATATCACTTAAATGCACAATATTCATAGCCAAATAATGATATAGATACAGAATTTTGAAATTTTGTCTTTATATACATAATTGGTCATAGCTCCAATACAAGGTCCTTTTACGAAAATCCCTTAAACGCACAATACTCATTACCAAGTAAAGCTATTGATTCAAAATTTGGCACAAATATTAGTTTGGTATACAAAAATTCTATTTCAAGATTTTTTCACGATCGGTCCAAAACATGGGTGCGGTCGGTCCCATGCAAGTGTCCCTTCAGAAAATCACTTGAACACATATTACTTATTACTAAATTACGATATAGATACAAAATTTGACTGAAATATAGCTTTTATGTACAGAAATTTAGCTTCCCATACTAGGTCCTGCCCCTAATAACAATTTGTGTAGAACAAAATTATATGTATGTATTTTGAAAATCCTTAAATCTTTCACACACACATGCATACATGCACATTATTAAATATCGTTAAAGCATATCTAAGGGCGCTATAAAAATATAAAAGAAAATGGGGTTTGTAATGTTCAACAAATCTTGGAATTGTAACAGATTTAAGCTGTTTAAATCTTGGGGTTTTTCTATTTAAGACATGAGAAAACTTATTTCTACAAATATTTGATCAATTAAAAAAGTATTAATATAAAAGTAGCTGGTGGAGGGTATTTAAGATTCGGCTCAGCCGAATATAGCACTCTAACTTGTTAATAATCCATTTAACAAAATTTTTTAAAGTACTAGCACATTTATGAACCTTATAAAGATAAACATAATTGTTCAATTCACAATCAAGTTGTATATTGTACCTACTAAAGTGTAGTAACAGTGATTGTGAACATATATTTGCAGCAAGTCATAAGTTTGTGTTCTCAATGAAAAAAAAAAAAAAACAATCAAGACAAATTTAGATAACAATGCCAAAAGTTAAAAAAATCAAAAAATATTAAATTAATTAAACATGCGAAATAAACCAAATTAATTTCTTTGAATTTTCAATTCTTTTATTTTCTTTATTCCAAATTTTAAACTAATAAATAAACTGTTTTCAATAAAATTTTAATTTTTTTGTTTTGGTAAACAGCTGTTTGTTTTTGATTTCAGTGTTACCACTTTATCGTTTTTTGTGCTAAAATCGTTTGAATTTTTTGTTTATATGTTGAAATAAACAATTGGCAACACTAAACTTTCTTACAACATTCGAAAAACATATGAAAAATTGTCGTAGGAGTTGTATAGAGCTTTTGCATAGAAAATACCAACAACGTTGTTATGACTATTGTAGCAGCTGCTGACATACAACGCATACAACGCTACAACATCGATTGTGAATTGAACAAATATTTTTTTGTAAAATTTTTCAAAACTAACAAAAATTTTTTATATTTACTTTTATATGTCTTCAGAATCACAAAATTCTCAGGGGAAATTTTAATAGCTCAAAATTTGTTTAACCAATTTAGAGTTTTTCCATCTTTTTGGAAAAACAATTTTGTAGACATTACGATTTTGCTATAACATGGTGCAATAATTAATACTTAAAGCATCATTTTGTGAAAATACTCCAAAAAGTGCCATTTTTCCCATATAAACGCATTTACAAACTTTGGCGGCGATGCGCGGGCTCTTACCCTCAAAATAATTGAATAATATTTTACAGTCTTCCATTTGACGTTAAAATACAACATAATTTCACTATTAGATGTTGATCCGAGCGAAAAGCCTATTTTCGACCCACCCTAATATACATACATACATACAATAACAAAATGTCACTAAAAAATCATCAAAATGCTTAAATTTAAATCAATTTTTATTTAAAGAAAATATCTAAATTTATAAGTATAGTAATTTATAATTTTATAAATTTTAAATTAATTAACAATTTCTATTAGCAATAATTATCAATTACTTTGTTTACTTTTGTCAAATTTAAACACAAAAATATACAATATACTAAAACAAATTGCATACAATAACAAAGTCTTAATGAACAAACAACCCATCAAGTTTTATTGTTCAGTCGGCTTGATTTGTACTAACCAGTCAAACTATCAGTTTTTTTTACGTCCCTTAGTAAGAAAACGAAACCAAGAACTAAGCAATACGTAAGCAGCACACGCAAAACTGTTTTTACTGTTCAGTCGTTGTGTTCAGTTCGGCTGAGTTGAAAAACTTAACATGGCCGCTGCTTGTGTGTGTGGCTGCTGAAGAAAAACAAAACCATTTGCAAGTTATTGCAGCAATGTGTTGACACAGTTGACTGACTTCAGTTAGCTTGTAAGGGGAAATTTTAACGAGTTACTATTTTTTAAGCATGGTACTAAATTTAGTCAAATATTTAGTAATTTGCGACTGCAATTAGCAGTTTTTTGAAACCCTGGTTATTATTTAATTTATTTGTAAACAATAATTGTTATTTAAATTGTTTTTATTTATTTGTATTTTGTTTTGCACAATTTTGTTTGTTTATTTTAGTTAGCACTTTTTATGTATGTTTAGGGTAATTTTTCTTTTAGTTTGTAGGGTACTATTTATTTATTTATTGTGAACTTTTATTTTATTTATTTATATTTTTAATTTGTGGACTGTATCACTGTTTCACTTCACTTTTTAACGGTTCGTGAGGACCAATGTTTATTCGGGTTAGAAAGTGTAGGGTATAGAATAAGTTTAAGTAGCGGGTAAGTAAATAAAAACTCTTGTTCTTTCCTTTTTTCATAAAACGTTATAAATTCATGTGTTTATTGAACTATAGCGGGTAAGTATTTATTATATAGGATTAAGGTAAGTATATATATATATATTGTGCTGTGTGGGTTGGTGGATTTGTTGAACATCTGTTTGTTCATTGAACAAACAGAAAACAAAATAAACAACAAAAAAAACAGTGTGGCCAGATTGCCGGCGGCGCTGGTATGCTCGCGATTGCCGGGCTTGGAGCTCGCCGGAGGGGGTGGTCCTTGCCAGCAATCTGTACCGAATACACACACCATCACAAAAAAATCATACCAGCAAATATATATTAAAGTTAAAGGGCTCAAAGTAGTCTTTCTCCATTTCCCTGCGTACTAGTCTATCGAACAATTCTTCTCCTGGCTGATGTTGTTGCCAGGAAATAACCCTCCCACTCGGGATTGAATCCCGCCATGACATCCAATAGTAGGGATGTCCCAAACTTTCCCCGCAGACAATACCTTCCCTACTTACCGCCGCGTTTACTGAATTTTAGCCAGTCATATTAATTAAAATAAAACTTGGAAAGTAGTATTTTCATTTATACATTATAAAATTTGTTTTATTAAAAAAAAAAGAATTTATATAAACGAAAATATCGGAATAAAATTTACAAAAATTTTACTTTTAGATGACGATTTCATATTTTACTCTTATTTCTAGTTTTAATTTTCAGATTTTAGTTTTAAATTTCAATTTTAAAATTTTAGTTTTAAATTTTAATTTTTAAGATTTTAGTTTTAAATTTCAATTTTAAAATTTTAGTTTCAAATTTTAGTTTTAAAATTTTAGTTTTAAAGTTTAATTTTAAAATTTTAGTTTTAAAGTTTAATTTTAAAATTTTAGTTTTAAAGTTTAATTTTAAAAATTTAGTTGTAAATTTTAATTTTACAAATTTAGTTTTAAATTTTAATTTTAAAAATTTAGTTTTAAATTTTGGATTTTTTTTCTTTTTAGTTTTCGACTTTTCTTTTCCAAGTTAGGTTTAATTCAATAGTTCCCTTCTGATAATAATAATTTATAATTTCACTTTCTCAACCTCTCGGATTTATTACCGATTTCCGGCTCTAGTTCCTGGCGGCCAACTACTTTATCGGAAGTATCTCCCAAATGAGGATAGGGTAGATGGATATTTCCTGTTCGTGACGTGTCCAGATGTCAAAGTAGTTTGAGGTACGAATAAATTATAAATTCTCTAATTCCTTTTATTTATTTCTAAATAATTATATATATTTTTTTTTTATTAGGAGAATTACCTATATAAGATTTTAGGAAAATCTTGGTTAATCAACCTCGCGACTCACTGATCCCTAGGCCAGAGCTCTAACCTAACTCGCGCACGCGTGGTTAATGTTCACACGCGGGATGAAATTTACGAGACGTAAGACTTCCTATTTTTTTATATAAATATCTCACTATTCACTTTTTTTTTAATATATATTTATCTTTTTTTTTTTTATTTTCTTAAAGAAAAGGAACCGAATCGAACGTCCGTCTATGTGTCCCGGTATTTCACTGTACTGTAGTCGGAATATCACCAAATATACCCTAGCACCCCAGGCGTGGTGATGCTAATGCGGCTGCTCCCTCGATGGATGAAGTTTGGTGTTGAGTGGCTTGCAGGTTTGTTTATTTAGCTTTTTCTTATTTTTATTTTGAAGATTTAGTTTTAAGTTTAATGTTACGTTTACAATTTCTTTTCAATAAAATTTATTTAATTTATAAAAAAAAACAAAAATTTAGTTTTTTTTTTGTATGACGGAGCCACAACTCCACCTTCTTCTTTGTTGGCCCAGTTCGATTAAAAAGAACGAATTTGTCCTCGTTTCCTGCCTCGAAACCTAGCTTTATCGAAAAGATGGCTGATATTTTTTTTTTTCAGCTATTTAAAATTCATAGTTTTGTTCATTTGTTTTTGTTTACCAAATTTCCATTTGTCAAAGATGACAAGAAGTATAGAAAATCCCTTTATTTTTTTGTTTACTCTTCTTCTTTTTATTAGTAGCTGTTTATTAGGGAGGTGCACACTACAAACCCCACCATTCCTGTTATCCATCCCTGGATACAGGATGGGAGGGAAAAAATCGCACCCTAAATTTTCCTAAAACTTTTCTGGGATTTTGGGTATTTCATTATTCCCATACAAAAATTTGCGCTATGGCAACCCTTATTCATTCGATAACAAAAGTACAACTCTGTACCGCCGTTAAAAACTGGTCAGGCGGCGACGTACTCTGAACAGCTGCTTGAATGAATGGAAGAGGAGGAGGCAAATAAGAAAAATACTACGCGAGGTAAGTAGTTTTTTTGTTGATAAACAATAAAATAACAAAAATATTACTTTAAATAGTTTAAAACAATATAATAATTTTTTCTTTTGTTTCTTTACAGGTTCTGGTGGAGATTTATGGCCAATAAAGGGGTTTTTAAACAAGGTAAGTAAAAGTGTTATACAAATGGGAATTTTATTAGTGGTGTTGCTAACTAACACAACCAAATTTTCTTTCTTTACAGATATCATGTTGGCGGCCCTGGGCCTATATAAAAAAACTGATGGCCGATTCTGAAAGATGGCGGATCGAAGCAGAATGAAATGGTAAGTAAAAAAAAGTGGAAATTATTTTAATTATTTTTATAAAATTTTCTAATAATTTTGTTTTAAATTTTCTAGGTTTTGTTCCAGATGGGCCAGTGGACTAGGGATTAAGGTCGTTCCGGAAATTTAAGGTAAGTGAAATGAATTATTTTTGAAATATAAAAAGTGGAATTTAGTGAAAATTAAAATGTGGTTCGGTGCAACAAAAAAAACTTTTTGGTTACAGTGTGCGTCAAAAGTGTGAGTGCCGTGTAAAAAAAAATTTTAATCGAATAAAATAAAAAAATTTGAATAAATTTAAAATAATTTCGGTTCGGGTTTTGGAAAAAGTGAATTCGGGTAAAAAAAAATATTTTGGAATTTACAGTGCGTGTAAAAAGTAAACGGAAAAAAACTTGAAAAAGTTTTAACAATCGTATCGTGTAGAATAATTAAAAGTGAAAATGTTAAAGAAAAATTATTTGATCGGAATTTATAGTGAGTGTCAAAAGTGTTCGGACAAAAAAAAAATTAATTTAATGAAAAAAAGTTGGAAAAAGAAAATTGTTTAAGAAATTAGAGTGGTTCTGAAAAGTAACAAAAACAATTTAAAATTTAAATTCGGAAGATACAGTGAGAACAAAAAGTGAAGTGACAGTGAAATATTTTTTTTTTTCTTCAAATACAGTGGGTGTAAAAAAAAAGTGAAAATTTTTAGTGACTGGATTTAATAAGCGAGACCAACGGAAACTAAAGTTTGAAAATTTACAGTGGCCATCAGAATTTGTGAATCAGTTAAATTTAAAACAAAATTATTTGTGTAAACAAAAATGAAGTGAACCGTGACCAAAACCTTTTGTAACCAAAACAAAAGAAAAATTAATAAAGAAAACTCTAAAAAAAATCAAACCAATCCTAAATGGATAAAATAAAAGAAAAGTGAAAATAAAATTATTTCTCCGATTAAAATATCTTTTGCTTTAATTCAAAATTAATAATTTTATAAATTTTCTTTTACTTTCAGCTAATAAAATTCAATTGGACCTGGGATTTGGCCTTGGTTGCTGCTTCCGTTCAGGAAAGGTAAGTAATAAACCTAAAACTAAATAATATATAATGAAACATAATTTCACTTATATTAAGTTTTCTCTTCATATTCACGACTTAATCGCAGGAATTTGGTAGAAATGTAAGGACTAAGTTCACCAAAGCTCATAGACTAACGTCTAGAGACTTTGGCGAGAAATACCCCTTACAATTTCTCCGGAAATAAAAGTAAAAATATTCAAAAATAAAATTATTTTGAAAGAAAAAAAAAAGAAAAATATATATATAAAGTGTAATTTTCTAAAAGAAATAATAAATAAAAATGATTTGATCTTAGCTTGGAATTCAGTTTGTCCTTTTAGAAGATTACAAAAAGCTAGATTAAATTAATTCAACTAATTATATTCTATTTCTCTTCCACAGGTTATAAATTCAGATTGGACCTGGACCGGAAGCTTGAATGCGGTATATGAACCCAATTATTGTTCTAAAACGTAAGTACTAACTAATACTGAACTTATCTAAATCAAATGATTAGATATTGAAAATGACTTGTATCATCAAAATTTACATTAGACCAAATACTAATTGTTTTGTTTTTCCTTTCACAGGTTGAATCATCACATTTTGGTTCCTGAAGAAAATCAATAATACCAGCCAACTGTAAGATCGAGAGGAAAATTTCTCCAATCAACGAAAATTTTAATCGGTAAGTGAAAACTTTAAATTTCTATTATTAACATCTAATTTTAAGTTATTCTGTTTAGTCTAATATTAGATTTAGTATTTAAATTAGATTTAAAAGCAAACTATAGATATATTGCCTTATTTCGTGATCGTTAAGATCATAATGTTTTCCATTAGAAAAAACTATTTTGCCAGGAATAGTTCGTGTTGTGAGAACAACATACCGTAGTGATAGATTTCCCTGTTAACGAGTAATTCACGTGTTTCTACCCGAAACGCTTGTTGGATACTCGTCGCAGCTTTGCTCCCAGACAATTCAAATTGCCAAATTTTAGTCAGCGCTTAGATGACTAATAATTCCTAACCCTGAGCGCATGGTTCCAAAGGGTGCTATGACGGAATTGCATCTATGACTAGCGTCTGACGATCACAACGTGGTCATAAACGAAAATTAATATATTTAGTCTGGTTGAGCACTCGACGAACTACTCGTTAACGGGCAAACTATCACGACTGTTTACTGTTCCACAACACAAATGAACTTCCCTGGTCGTAGGCTTTCACAAAAAAAAGAAAACAAAGTGTTAAATATAATCAAGGCAAAATATCATTAACAAAATGTTTTGTGTAGAAAGTATCTACTAACTCATTTATACAAAATACAGAAAATAAAATAGGTTTTATCATTTTGGTTCGAGCTTGGAGTAGGTATAATCGTTGGGACTAGAACCACCAAAGATGTTGAAACTATTGTTTTAAATCTTTGGCATGAAATACCCCCAACGATTTTCCTTGAAGGTCTTCAACCTCGTATAGGCTATTACCAATAGGTCTGACAATTCGGCATTTTAAAAATTTCTTGGCTAGTTTAGCATTAAAATTATTTTTGAAATCGCTTTGCTGAAAGTTGCGGCGATAAACCTCTTGACCTGGTACAAACTTGACTTGACGGCAACGGGTATTGTATGTCTTCTCGTGTTTCAAATATGCTTTGTGCAGATTCTCACGAATTTTGTGCCGTACTAAGTCCATTTTTACGGGTTTTGGTACTATGTCGATTTCCGGATCATGAAGCCATTGTAGTTTCTTCGCAAGCTTATATACACTTCCGTGCGAAATCATGTTCATACCGAACAGTGCGAAGTACGGCGTAACCCCAATAGACGTTTGGACTGACGACCGCAGCGAAAATTCAATTTCGGACAGGTACTTATCCCACTCAGTGTGATCCTCCTGTAAGTAGGAACGAATTGCGGACAGGATGGACTGGTTAACCCGTTCCGAAGCGTTGGCTTGTGGCGAGTGTGTGGCAGTTTTTACATGCTTTACGCCAAAGCTACAAACCATATCTTGAAATTCTTTGCTGACGAACTGTTTCCCGTTGTCTGACACAACTATTTCCGGGGTACCAAATTTGTGGAATACTTCGGAGATTAGGAATTTTATGACATTTTTCGTATTTGCCTTTGCCATAGCTTTCAAAAGCACGAATTTCGTAAGGTGGTCCAGAACGATGAATATAAATGAATTCCCGTTTTTGGACCGCGGATACGGACCTAGGAAATCGATAAAGATTCTCTGGAACGGGCGCTCCGTTTGAGATTCCGCTCCCATGGGTGGTCGTAAAGTTGAATTGGCGGGTTTTGTTTCTCGACAGATTTGGCAATTGGCTACAAAGGTACGAACCTGTATATTTTGGTTTGGCCAGTAGAAATATTCTTTGACCCTTCGGAGTGTTTTTCCAAAACCTCCATGTGCGGCTTGAGGTGGATTATGGCACTTGGCAATAATGTCTTGGGTCAATTCAAGCGGAACCCAAAGTTTCCAAGCGAAGTCTTCGTTTATTGGAATACCATCGCAAGGCAAAACTCGTTTGTAGACCAAATCGTCAACTACCTTCAAATCTGGTAAACGTTCGGCATTTTCATGGATTTTGGCGATTAAGTCCAGGTAACCTTGCTCTTTAAAATAATTTGACTGCAAATCTATTAAATTATTTACCTCCGCAGATATTTCCTCCATATCATATCTCGATAAGGTGTCAGGTACTATATTTTTGGATCCGGGCCGATGTTCAATAGAGAATGAAAAGGCTTGGAGGTGTAAACTCCACCGAGCTAGTCTGCCACTGAGGTCCTTATGAGACATTAACCATTTGAGGCTACTGTGGTCAGTGATGACGGTAAACGGCAACAGTTCGATGTACGGCCGGAATTTTTTAATTGCCATCACTACCGCCAAGCACTCTCTCTCGGTGACCGAATAGTTTTTCTGGGCACTGGTTAATTTATGAGAGAAGAACGCTACCGGATGCTCGCCGTCGTCTTCATCTTTTTGGAACAAAACTGCTCCCAACCCGACGTCTGAAGCATCACACTGCACGTAAAAATGCTTGTTGAAATCCGGATGTCTAAGTACTGGTGCTGTTGTAAGGGCCGATTTTAATTTGTCGAAGGCTTCTTTAGCTTCGTCCGGAAAACTGAAGACTTTTCCTTTCTTGAGAGTGTTAAATATTGGAGTGGATATGGTGGCATAGTCGGGAATGAAGCGTCTGTACCAACCAGTGGCTCCCATAAAGCTTCTAACCTGCTTCGCGGTTTTCGGGTATGTATATTTTATAATAGTATTAACTTTATCAGGATCAGGTTTTAATTTTCCTCCTCCTACTATATACCCTAGGTACTTCAGTTCCTTGAAGCAGAATTTGGACTTGGCTACGTTGATGGTCAGACTCGCTGAATCCAAACAACGCGCTACCCGTTCCAGCAATTCCAAGTGTGTCTTAAAGTCTGGAGATACTATCAAAAGATCATCTAGATAGACGAAAACTCTATCACGAAGTGCTGCGGGGATCACTTTATCCATTAGGCGACATAACCTTTGGGCTGCATTACACAACCCAAAAGGCATGACCGTAAAATGGTAAAGTGGTCGTCCTGGCACCGTGAATGCAGTTTTCTCCTTACTAGATGCATCTAGTGGTATCTGCCAGAACGCGTCTTTGAGATCAACGCTTGATATGTAATATGTATCCCCTAACCGGCTGAGAAGACCTTCGATGTGCGGCAGAGGATAGGCGTCCTTAACCGTGAGAGCATTTAGCTTACGAGCGTCCAGACACAAACGGTTCTTCTCGCCCCTACGGACGAGAGTAACCGGATGGCTCCAAGGACTCTCGCTCTGCTCAATGACCCCAAGGTTAAGCATCCTATCCAGCTCTGCGTACATCAACTTCTGCACAGCTGGTGAGACGGGATAATGTCTGTCTTTAACCGGAATCGCTTCGCGGGTATCGATTGTATGACATTCGAGCGTAGTCTGGCCAAGACCTTTCTTAGTGCAACAAGGAAATAACGCCACCACTTTCTCTAAAGCCGCCTGATCATCAGGAGTGAGTACATGAACTTTATGGGTGTCCTTAACTTCTTCCGACTCTGGACATAAATTTACTCCATTAGTAGAGAGACTACACAGGGCAGGGAAAAGACCGAAACTCTTCATGAAGTCTACGCCTAAGAATAGACTCCGACTTAGTGTTGGTACCAAATATAAGGTGACTTCATTAGAATGATTATTAAATTTTATCACCGTTTTTACCCTTCCAACAATTTTGTGTGGACTGCCATCGGCCGTTTTAACGTAGGACAGAAACTTTTGGACTGGTAGACCCGTACTCTCCACTAACTCCATACAACCTTTACCCAGACAGGAAACGGTAGCTCCACTGTCCAATAAACCATCTACCTCGTGTCCATTAATAGGAATTTTCAAATATATTCTAGCATCTTTTCCTTCATACAAACTTGTCGACATTATTTCATGCTTCACTCTTTTCCTGATTTTGTAACGCTGTCTGGCTTTCTTTATCTTGTTAGAGACCTGCCCGAAGATTCTTAATTTAGCTTCATTATACTCATGAATTCTTTGATGTAATGGTTTAATTACATGAACTTTCGGCTTTTCAGCTTCAGGAGCTAAACGCTCGGAATTAATTAGAATTCGAGTAGGTCTGGACGGAGTATTATCCGGGATTAGGGTTGGTTTGAACGAGTCTCCCCCGTTTGGGACTCGCTCCCCTTCAGGTTTCCCTGACATTTAGGGCACTTAGGCGTGACTACATCGTCTCTACCGCATCGAAAACAAAATATGCGCCTATTGGGTGATGGGCAATCCATGAAGCTATGGCCTGGTTGCTTGCAATTCCAGCATATATACCGGCTACTAGTGGCTAAGGCGTCTACTTCGGGGATAGGTGTCGGCTCTTCATCTCCAAACTGGAGTTCATGTACGCGAGCTGGGACGGAATGTCTAGCTTGAAAAGTCTGCCTTTGAGTGGTAATTAAGTTTTCGGCTCGTTTCGCCTGTTGACAGAACTCATTCAGATTAGCAGTGGTCACCGAAAATAGCAAGTGCGACATTGACGGTTTTAAGTTACTTTTCATAATTTCCACCAAGTCTCGCTCAGAATATGGATTTCGCTGCTGGTTCCTTAGCTTTATCACAGCATTGTAGAAACTTTCGAAGCTTTCCATCGGTAGTTGGCGACGGTCCATTATTTGTTTCTGCAGTTGGAACTCGCTCTCGTACCGTCGGAACTGCGTAAGAAATGCTCCGACCAACTCTTCCCAGGAGCGTATTGGCCTTAACTTGCGGAGGTTCCAGTACCAATCTAAAGCCTGGCCTTCCAACAACGAATGGAAACTTCTTAAAATGTCATTGAAGCTACAATCATAATCCTGCCTCAAGACGTCAATACGGAAGATAAAATCCTCCGCACTCATGTGCCATCAAATTTAATCCCCCACTTTGATAAATCCACCTTCCGTGCGATGGAAAAGGCACCTTCTGTGGGCCAGCTAGGGGCTTGCGACGACTGTGGTGGTGGCAAAACTGGATTGAAGTTTAGCGGATGTGTATAAGCTGCTTGTGGTGGCAACGGCTGAAAAGCGTCTGGTTGCTGATTATTAAGCACAGGTATATTTAAATACGATTGTGGTTGAACATTTGTCGCTAAATTGTTATTTTGTTGTAGGACAGGTGGTTGCGGTTCGGCAGGCTGTGGAGGTGATGCTTGGGATAACGCTCGAGTTATGGATTGCGCAATCTCTTGTTGCATATCGCTACGCAAGAACTGCATTTGCCTTTGCAATTCCTCGCGCATAAAATTAACCACCTCGGTTGCGGCTGTCACATTATTAGCAGGTGGAGGTGCTGCCGGTGGCATGCTGGAACGATATTCCTGCTGCACATTCCTGGCAGTAATACTGCTATATTCAGGCGAAGTTATCGTACTGTTTATAAAAGAAGACTCGTGATGAAATCCTGAGCGTTCTTGTGCTAATGACATAAACTGCCGGACGGCGGGTGTTACTGTCGAAGTTGCTGTAGTTGTGGTTGTTGTTGTGGTCATAGTATTAGCGATGGTGTACAAGGGGAGCGCAGCGGAAACCGCAGTTTCAATCACGGTTCTGTTAGCGTTCTCCATTTCAAGATTATTTCTGTTGTCTGCTTGGGATCGACTCCTAGCTGAGCGAGTTAATACCATAGTAGAGAACACCAATATTAAAATGAGCTTGACCAAATAATCGTAAATATTTAGGTCCAATTCAAATGATAAAATGTCAATACATATATATAAATATATAAAAGCAAAATCGAGCGCTAGTAAAAAAAAAAATATATATATATATTTTTTTAAAGGTAAATCTCAAACGAGATACTAAGAAAATATCTTCCTTTTTCTTTCAAAAAACTAAAAGTCTAAATCTAAAAAGAAAAGATCCAAACTCAAAACAAAAAATGAAGATTCAAAACGTAATTTTGTAAACGGCGATGCTTTCGGGAAAGTAAAGTTTGCAGGTAAAGTATATTGAAATTGTTCGAAGATATAGTCGTAATTGTTTTCCTATTGGTTTCAGGAGATGGAGAAGTTAAAATGGATGATAAATGGTAGTGCTTGTTTCACCACAGCAAAAATGTTAAGGTGCAACTAGATGTTGGTTTTAAAAACCTAGTTCTTCTAGGACTACTTTAACTATTTAGCTGTAGACAAACGTGAGTTTTAAACAAACACTAATAGTTTTGCTATTAAGGGTGGCTGCCTATGCTATTCTTTCCTCCCAACTTGAGCAATCTCGCTCTTGCTATGGAAAGCTAATACGAGAGCCTCAAGTTGCTTGGAAAGAACAGGCTGAAGAATCTATAATTCCGCATGACTATATTGCCCACACCAAACGTCGCAACGCGAACCAGACTGGGTTGTCCAGATGTTCGGGACTTACGTTAGTGTGTACAATATTAGTCATGCACAATTATAGATTCCCATCTATTGAAAAGTAGAAATGAAAAAAAATAAAATAAATAACTATTTCGTCTGACGACGTCGCTACAATTAGGGACTCTTGTTATGACCTAACAGGACTTACGTAGTCTTGACTGAATAGCATTAAGGACTAACTAGATTAATCTATGGACCTACTTCGGGCCCCACGTTGGGCGCCATTTATTGCTGTGTGGGTTGGTGGATTTGTTGAACATCTGTTTGTTCATTGAACAAACAGAAAACAAAATAAACAACAAAAAAAACAGTGTGGCCAGATTGCCGGCGGCGCTGGTATGCTCGTGATTGCCGGGCTTGGAGCTCGCCGGAGGGGGTGGTCCTTGCCAGCAATCTGTACCGAATACACACACCATCACAAAAAAATCATACCAGCAAATATATATTAAAGTTAAAGGGCTCAAAGTAGTCTTTCTCCATTTCCCTGCGTACTAGTCTATCGAACAATTCTTCTCCTGGCTGATGTTGTTGCCAGGAAATAACCCTCCCACTCGGGATTGAATCCCGCCATGACATCCAATAGTAGGGATGTCCCAAACTTTCCCCGCAGACAATACCTTCCCTACTTACCGCCGCGTTTACTGAATTTTAGCCAGTCATATTAATTAAAATAAAACTTGGAAAGTAGTATTTTCATTTATACATTATAAAATTTGTTTTATTAAAAAAAAAAGAATTTATATAAACGAAAATATCGGAATAAAATTTACAAAAATTTTACTTTTAGATGACGATTTCATATTTTACTCTTATTTCTAGTTTTAATTTTCAGATTTTAGTTTTAAATTTCAATTTTAAAATTTTAGTTTTAAATTTTAATTTTTAAGATTTTAGTTTTAAATTTCAATTTTAAAATTTTAGTTTCAAATTTTAGTTTTAAAATTTTAGTTTTAAAGTTTAATTTTAAAATTTTAGTTTTAAAGTTTAATTTTAAAATTTTAGTTTTAAAGTTTAATTTTAAAAATTTAGTTGTAAATTTTAATTTTACAAATTTAGTTTTAAATTTTAATTTTAAAAATTTAGTTTTAAATTTTGGATTTTTTTTCTTTTTAGTTTTCGACTTTTCTTTTCCAAGTTAGGTTTAATTCAATAGTTCCCTTCTGATAATAATAATTTATAATTTCACTTTCTCAACCTCTCGGATTTATTACCGATTTCCGGCTCTAGTTCCTGGCGGCCAACTACTTTATCGGAAGTATCTCCCAAATGAGGATAGGGTAGATGGATATTTCCTGTTCGTGACGTGTCCAGATGTCAAAGTAGTTTGAGGTACGAATAAATTATAAATTCTCTAATTCCTTTTATTTATTTCTAAATAATTATATATATTTTTTTTTTATTAGGAGAATTACCTATATAAGATTTTAGGAAAATCTTGGTTAATCAACCTCGCGACTCACTGATCCCTAGGCCAGAGCTCTAACCTAACTCGCGCACGCGTGGTTAATGTTCACACGCGGGATGAAATTTACGAGACGTAAGACTTCCTATTTTTTTATATAAATATCTCACTATTCACTTTTTTTTTAATATATATTTATCTTTTTTTTTTTTATTTTCTTAAAGAAAAGGAACCGAATCGAACGTCCGTCTATGTGTCCCGGTATTTCACTGTACTGTAGTCGGAATATCACCAAATATACCCTAGCACCCCAGGCGTGGTGATGCTAATGCGGCTGCTCCCTCGATGGATGAAGTTTGGTGTTGAGTGGCTTGCAGGTTTGTTTATTTAGCTTTTTCTTATTTTTATTTTGAAGATTTAGTTTTAAGTTTAATGTTACGTTTACAATTTCTTTTCAATAAAATTTATTTAATTTATAAAAAAAAACAAAAATTTAGTTTTTTTTTTGTATGACGGAGCCACAACTCCACCTTCTTCTTTGTTGGCGCAGTTCGATTAAAAAAGAACGAATTTGTCCTCGTTTCCTGCCTCGAAACCTAGCTTTATCGAAAAGATGGCTGATATTTTTTTTTTCAGCTATTTAAAATTCATAGTTTTGTTCATTTGTTTTTGTTTACCAAATTTCCATTTGTCAAAGATGACAAGAAGTATAGAAAATCCCTTTATTTTTTTGTTTACTCTTCTTCTTTTTATTAGTAGCTGTTTATTAGGGAGGTGCACACTACAATATATATAACAAATTTTAGGTTAAGGTTTATTTTCTTTTAAATTAGGGTTTAGTTTGAACACTAGGGATAGGTTTATATATAAGTAATTTTAAATATATTTTATGTTTAAGGGTTTTTATATAAGCTTAGGGGTTTCACTATGTTTTAATGTTTGTAACCATAGGTTTAAGTTTGATATATAAGTTTTAACTATTTTAGCTGTGATATACTTTAGGAACACTAGTTTTAAGTTTTATTTTTAGGCTTAGGGTTTAAAACTAATTGTAATTTTTACCACTAGGTTTTTGCTTTAAGTTTTATAAATTATTTATTTCCAAAAAAACACTTCTAGCTTTAATTTTTTGTTGTAGGGATTGATGTTTTGTTTGTTTGGTTGGTTGTAGAGCGCTTGTTGGCTGTAACACTTGTTGTTACTTGCAAATTTGTACTTGAAGTCTTTATATTAAGATGTGGGTGCTGTTTGACATCAGGGATGGGTATGTTTTGTTCATTGAAATGAACAGTCAATTTGATAGATCGGTAGAATTATTGTTCTATGTTTAATAAACGCGGTAATCTGAGGTTCCGATATGGCTGCAATTAACTTTGGCAGTTTTCGTGCACCATTTTAAAGCATTAAAATTGCCATTTGTTTTGGTATATAATTTATTGCATAATGTATTTTTAGAAAACGGCCAATTGGATAAATCGGTAGAATTATTTTCCCAGGTTTAAAAACGCGGTAATTTGAGGTTCCGATATGGTTGTGAATTGACAGTTTTCGTGCTATGACAGTCATTTATGCATCATTTTAAAGCATTACAGTTGTACTTTGTTTTGGTGTATAATTTGTGGCATAATGAATTTTTACAAAAATTGGATAGATCGGTATATTTATTGGTACAGGTTTAAAAATGCGGTAATTTAAGGCCCCGAAATGGTTGCAAATAACTTTTATAGTTTTTATGTTATAACAGTCGTTTATACATCTTTTTATTGCATTATAGTTGCCATTTGTTTTGGTATATAATTTATTGCATAATGTATTTTGAGAAAATGGCCAATTGGATAGATCGATAGAATTATTTTCCCAGGTTTAAAAAGGCGGTAATTTGAGGTTCCGATATGGTTGTGAATAACTTTGAGTTTTCATGCTATGACAGTCATTTATGCATCATTTTAAAGCATTATGATTGCACTTTAATTTGATATATCATTTGTGGCATAATGTGTTCGTCTAAAAAATGGTCAATTTGATGGATCGGTAGAATTATTGTACTATGTTTAAAAACGCTGTAATTTGAGGTTCCGATATGGCTGCAAATAACATTGACAGTTTTCATGCTATGACAGTCATTTATGCATCATTTTAATATGGTATATAATTTGTTGCATAATGTGTGTTTTTACAAATTGGTCAATTTGATAGATCGGTAGAATTATTGTTCTATGTTCAATAAACGCAGTAATCTGAGGTTCCGATATGGCTGTAATTAACTTTGGCAGCTTTCGTGCTAGGACAGTCGTTTATGCACCATTTTAAAGCCTTAAAATTGCCATTTGTTTTGGTATATAATTTATTGCATAATGTATTTTTAGAAAACGGCCAATTGGATAAATCGGTAGAATTATTTTCCCAGGATTAAAAAGGCAGTGATTTGAGGTTCCGATATGGTTGCAAATAACTTTGACAGTTTTCATGCTAGGGCAATAGTTTATGCATCATTTTAAAACATTACAGTTGCACTTTATTTTGGTGTATAATTTGTGGCATAATGAATTTTTACAAAAATTGGATAGATCGGTATATTTATTGGTGCAGGTTTAAAAATGCGGTAATTTAAGGCCCCGATATGGTTGCAAATAACTTTTATAGTTTTCATGTTATAACAGTCGTTTATACATCTTTTTATTGCATTATAGTTGCCATTTGTTTTGGTATATAATTTATTGCATAATGTATCGATAGAATTATTTTCCCAGGTTTAAAATGGCGGTAATTTGAGGTTCCGATATGGTTGTGAATAACTTTGACAGTTTTCATGCTATGACAGTCATTTATGCATCATTCTAAAGCATTATGATTGCACTTTAATTTGATATATCATTTGTGGCATAATGTGTTCGTCTAAAAAATGGTCAATTTGACGGATCGGTAGAATTATTGTTCTATGTGTAAAAACGCTGTAATTTGAGGTTCCGATATGGTTGCAAATAACATTGACAGTTTTCATGCTATGACAGTCATTTATGCATCATTTTAATATGGTATAGCATTTGTAGCATAATATGGTATATCATTTGTAGCATAATGTGTGTTTTTACAAATTGGTCAATTTGATAGATCGGTAGAATTATTGTTCTATGTTTAATAAACGCAGTAATCTGAGGTTCCGATATGGTTGCAATTAACTTTGGCAGTTTTCGTGCTAGGACAGTCGTTTATGTACCATTTTATAGCATTAAAATTGCCATTTGCTTTGGTATATAATTTATTGCATAATGTATTTTTAGAAAATGGCCAAATGGATAGATCGGTAGAATTATTTTCCCAGGTTTAAAAAGGCGGTAATTTGAGGTTCCGATATGGTTGCAAATAACTTTGACAGTGTTTAAGTGTAGATTATTATTATTATTATTATTATTATTATTATTATTATTATTATTATTATTATTATTATTATTATTATTATTATTATTATTATTCAACTGGCACTGAACTGCTCTTATTTAATTCACCACTAGTGTACTGGAATGCATGTACATTTGGTGGTTGTTTTTATTATGCTCTTTGTATGTCTCTCAGTTCTGAATTCGCCGCATACTTCATATGTACGTACATATAATTGTGTTTCTTAAATGCATGCAGTTCAGTTGATCAGTACCCAGGGAACGACAATAAACAAAACAACACTTAAATACATAAAGAAAAAGAGGTTCTTGTGTTTTTTATTTAAAGTGGACAACAATAAAAATAAATTACAGTAAGACAATTTACAGCATTTAAAAATAATCTATTTGTTCCCCTTTCCCCTTCATAATAACATTTGATCCAACGAACCGGATTAAAACCCCCTTATAAATTTTGTCAAATACTTTATTTTTAAATATTGTGAAACCCCTTATTCCTTGTTTTTTTTTAAACCCCTTATTGTAAAAGTGTTGTGTTTAATTGCTCTTGTGCATTTATTAAAAAAAAGCCTTGGTTCAAGAAAAAAAAAAACCCCTGGCTCTTGTGAAATTTATAGAAAAAAAAACGCCTGGCTCTTGTGAAATTTATAAAAAAAACCCCTGGCTCTTGTGAAATTTATAGAAAAAAACCCCTGGCTCTTGTGAAATTTATAACAAACCACGTGGCTCAAGTGAAATTAAAAAAAAAAAAAAAAGAAGAAAAACCCTGTTTTTAAATGGAAAAGTTAACATACAAACCCAGGCCTAAAGTGTGGAATATCATCTGTATCCATCAGTAACAACAACAGCAAGTAACCCCATTTTGCGGAAATTCAAAGGTAATATTTGATTTTTTCATATTTATCTGCGTATCCCTAATAAAACTGTGGCATCAATTTTTTGTCCGTTTGATATTGTCATATTTATTTGAGCATCCCTAATAGAATATATATTATTGTGTGCAACAACAAGTTTTCCGTTTGTTAACTCATCTTTATATACATACCGTTAGAAATCTCTAAAAAGTAAAAAATCCCTTCTTAATAACAATAAAATCCACAAGTGGTTAAATTAGTGTTTGTATGACAGTTTTGCTTGTTTTTTAACATTAATGCTGTGGATCAAAGAGTACCTAACATATTTCAACTTTAAAGTTTACATTATTTGTTACTCGCTACTTTATCTTACTCAGAGAGAATTAAATACATACCACAACAATTGGTTAGAACTGAAAACCACAAATTTAAGAGAATTTAACTGTTCATTAAATTCGTAACACTCACAAAAAATATTAGTAATAAACGGAAGATACTTTACAAAAACCAAATCACTTTAATAAAATACTACAAATAAAATCTAAGCAACTTTGAAACCTGTGAATCAGTTGCAAAGTTTTTTTATCAACTTTTGAAATTTAAAAACTATTTTATATGTGCGGATATTTTTTTTTAAATAACTTTATAAAATAACTTAACAAAAACAACATAAAGTTTTAAATTAAATCAAATAATTTTGCCATTATAACTCTTGTTTTTTATAATAAAAACCGAACATTCTTTCATCACTCGTTGTGAAGTAAACTAAATTCGTGTTTACATATAGAATCCTGTCAAATACAAACGCAATATGGCGGTTTTAGATGAGTTTATTCGATCATCCGATAAAGTCGTTGAATTTGAGGCCTTTTTCTCTGGCATCCCAGTTGCTACTCATACAATTCACACCCTCGATATACATAAGGATGAAATTCTTAGACACTGGTCAGATTTTAGAACAGCCTATGATAAAATTTTGCTAAATTATAACACGGTTGAAGAAAATATTGATGTCGAAACTCTGAAAGAAAGATTTTTTAAAACTTTTGACTCCCACGTTCGGGCTCTGTCAAAAGCTAATGAGATTTTAGATTCCCTCAGAAACCAAAATGTCCCTGC